TCCTGGAAATTACTAACATAACCATAAGTACTTCGCCACATGAAGAAAATCGAGACAACCTTGCTGCAATAAAACTCCATCAGCGCTGCGGCTATGAAGACGTGATGTCGACAACGGCTATCTTCGCGAGCTCTTTTGAATACCGCTCTGGCCGCTCTTACCCCTTCTGTTCGACGCGTAAATTTCATCAATTGGATATAAGTCTAAAGAACTATGATATCAATATAGATTTGCACATAAGCGCATGGGCGCCTACCAGAGTGGGATCTATGTGATCTATTGTCAGCAGGTTGTCATAGATCTTCTTTACGTTGTCGAACTTCATCCTCTCCTCTTCGAAATCAGCATAAGCAAAATATAGCAACTGTGAGTGCTTCATAAGCCCCGTAATTGCTCTGTCGAACAATTCTGAAAGGAATACGTATCTAATGCAATAAGAAATGAGGGATAATACTTACGCATAGCTTCTGCCGTCATTTGTTGGGCAAGCTTGACGTCTCCTTTCTCTTCGAGCTGCTTCCCAGCTTGTTGAAGAAAAAGTGCTGCTTCGTACCACATATCGGGGTAATATCCGAGACACAGCAATGATTGCTCATAAGCATAGACAACTAAACGCGAGTGATACATATTCAAAATCCGGGAAACGAACATCTGTCAGCCTTTTCCGTCCTCCACAAATAAGAGAAACGTACAAAATATCATAAACTAACCCCGTTTCGCAAACTGTCCATATTCCTCGGTTTCCATCGGGTTACTTTTTTCCCACTGGATATATTTCTTCCACATTTCAACCTAGAACAAGTGAACTTTTGCCGTCTTTCGCTAGTTATTCTTTCAAGGCCATTTTTGAAACAAAACTAACCTGCTTCATCTCCGGCGCTGTACCACGAGGAGGTACTGACACTGCTTGTCTATTAACACCGCGTGTAACAGTTTCCAATTGCTTAGCTATTTTTTTAGAAACCTCAAAGATATGAATTTGATGTATGGATAATTCGATATTTAGCTTGTAATATTACCCACTTGATATTCTTTATTTCTCTCTGATATGAGTTTCTCAGCAAGAGTGGGGTTGATATTCTTCTCATAATTACAATAATCCGACCATAATGACTCTATGTTGACCATAGGTGTAGAAATCCCTCTCTGATAGATTTTACGAACTGCGGAGATACGCTGGTTTTCCGCATACTGTCCGATCGCTGGACTGCAATAATTATCGTAGAAGCATCTACCTGATTCATTTCAAGGAATGCGAACAGAAAGAATGTTGCTACAATGGAACTTCAGTTTAACTACAAATTTCGACCATATGCAGATGAAACGGGTAATGGAAACAACGTAACGTACACTGTTTTCAAAAACGAAATATAGTCTGCGTAGATCGAATAAGAGTTCATATCGAGCCCAACTTTGTCGAGAGCAAAATCATAAGCCTTTGCCATTTTCTCTCTGTAGCAAAAAAATAAAGTTAAAACTCAG